TCTGCTAATAAAACATTTCGAGCAGCAAGATCACGATGAATACACTATCAAGTCAACAGCTTTTAAAATAGACTATAGTTTATGATTATAATAGTTATTTAATTGTGATTTTTTTGTTTTTTTTTTGAAATAAATTTTCTTATTTTTCTTTTTTTGATTGTTCATTAAGATAAAAAGAAAAAAGGAATTTTGTTGGCATGCTAATTAATAGTAGATAAATTATGTTTCGATTAGCTCAGTATGTCCTTAGAGGATCGCATCATGAGATTAAAAAATCATTTTTATATTCAAGTAAGATTGAAATTCTATGAGATTATTTGGTTTTATTCTTTTTGTTTTTCTAAAGATGTTCGAATGTATCTATCAGATGCTTATCAAGCATTTGATAAATGGGATGAATCATTATCAAGTGAAATTTTACAAAAAACTAATATTAGTATGTATGAACAGATTAATTGATAAAATTGATTCTTTTCTTTTCTTTTTTTTGTAAAGGTAAACTTTTGATTGATGTTGAACATAAATTAATTAGAAAGAAATATGTTAGTTCACTCGACATTAAAATTGTAAGTATTCATATAAATGAATAGAGCTCGTCGGGTCTAAGATTTTCGGACTCAAATCATACTTCTAATTTTTTTAATCTGAATTTGATACATCTTAACGATGATCGTATTATAATCAAGTGATCAGTAGTAAAGCCCATAGGATTGCTCTCGGACTTGGATTTGATAGGATCCGATTCGAAAATTTGGAGTTCGATGAGCTCTATATTTGAATATATTTGTTGTTTTTAGCTTGCAGCGAAACTGACTCATGTTGAAACGACTGAAGATCTTAAATTGGCAGAAACAATTTTTAAAAAGTAAGAAAATAGATTTTTTTAATGTTTGTTAGTCACTTGTTCCTAATTATCTTGATCTTGGTCAAAAAGAACGTTTATTACCTATTTTACATGATAAAGTTAATAGAATTAAAAACGAAATTATTCATAAAGTTTTATGATTTCATTTGGTAGGTTAAATATGGAATTTTTCTTGATCGATTTCCAGCTAATCTTTTATTAAATGCATTTTTACTTGAAAAAAAATACAAAAGTAAATATCAATTGAGTCTTTTTTTAATTATGTAGAGATTCTAAAATAGAAGCTGCACAAGTTTGTATAGATC